CAAATATTACATTACTATTGTCTGGATTTCTTTTCATATTAATAAGCATGAATAGTTGCTGGTTTTTGGTTACCAACCTGAGATACACACATATAGAAATAATAATTAAATGTATACTTTGAAAATAGGATCACAGGTTAATTTCATTTAACAGAAACATTGACTTGCAAAAAGGCAAAGTCAAATACTTTGGATAAAGAGGATTGATTGGAAACATAGGTATTCTACATTTTTTTTTAAAAAAAATTGAAAATTCTTGTTTGAAGTTAAGCCTGCATCTATAGAATGCATTGAATTTCAGACTAGCTAACCAGATTTTGTGAACCCAGTTCATGTGGTCAGTTTATGGTTCATGAGACTCCCTAACATTGGATTAATTTAAGAAAGCAAAGCCTTATAGAATGGCATACAGATGACTTTGCTAAGCAGATATCAGACCTCATTAATATTTGTGTAGAAGACTACCAGAAGAATCTCAGGAGTGGGGGCTGAACTAAGGCTTCCCCCATTAATAAAAATATTGTGAAAAAACAGAATGGCAAACCACTTCTGTATCATTGCAAAGAAGCAACATAGACATGTAGGCATCTGAAATAAAGCATGTATTATATTTTGCACTCTGTAAACATAATGAAAAACTATTTTGTATGAACAAAGACATAATCTCATTGTGGCTCAAATTTTATAAGGGTGGCAGATAGAAAGCTAAAGCTAATCTCTAAACATGTCTTTCTTCAATCGTATGACACTTCCCATCTGTTGACATTACAATTTTCAGAATTCCAAACACAATCAAGAATTCTGGTAATTGAAGCCTTAGCAAACCTGGAAGGATCAATGGGGATTCCAAAATATTTTCAAAATAAGAAATTATGGTATGCAATATCAGTGCTATTATGCTGTGTTTAGAAATGTTCAACCTCCAAATTTGTTGGACTTTCAACCATTTTAGCATAATAGGAGTCATTCACATGTTCTGTTGTTTGTGTTGGAGAACTGGCAGCATGATGTGGAATTGGGGAAGGTTTCTGTTTCACCCATCATGGTTAGATCATTCTAATGCAGTGGTTCTCAACCTGTGGGTCGGGACCCCATTTGGGGTCGACCGACCATTTCACGGGGGTCGCCAAGCAAGGCTGTCCGCCATTTTTTTTGTCCACCATTTTTTTTGTCCGCCATTTTTTTCCCTTTTCTGGCGGGTGCCTTACCTCCCTTGGGCTGGGCCAGCTGGTGGTCGGCCTGCTCCGTCTCTGCCGCTTGCCAGCTACGCCTCGGCCGGCGCAGGGGGCGGAACCGCGCATGCGCGGCGCTCCCGGGCAGGGAAAGTCCCCGACTTACGACCGGTTTAGTCCTCGACTTACGACCGGTTGGGGTCACGGCATTAAAAAGGTTGAGAACCACTGTTCTAATGACTCTGCAGTTCTCTGGCACTGCTCCATTGCCCTCCACCACAGGGAAACCTGTCCTATTAAATTGGTCAACTTCAGGCAACTGACAGACACAGTTTGTCTTAAAGGAAACTTTAGGGTTGTTCCTAAGAGGCTGCTGCACAATCTGGTCAATGAAAGGATGGTAAGACTTCTTGATCCGCAGGATTGTCTGGGACACCACACATCCTCTTCACAACCTGTTTGCCTTGTTACCTTCTAGGAGGAGGTTTCTTGGTATCCGAAGCAGAACATCCAGATTCAGTCACAGTTTTGTTCCATACAGTATTAACCTTGTGAACTCTCAAGCTTCCTCTTTTCACTATGTATTCAAGATGGACAGTGATTAATATTTATATGTAAGGGTGTAGGTATGTACATATGTTGTACAGGTATATAGCATGTTTATACGTGTGTTATGTATATGTACACTTTGGAGAGCAGGCAACAGAATTTCATTTTTAATGTGTGCCAGTGTGTCCACAATAAAAAAATGACAATAAAGGTTATCTTATTATCTTATCAGATTGTGCCCAAGAAACCTTTCCCCACCCCAAGATCTGGAACCCTCTTTGGTTTACAAAATAGTTGAAAGAAATAAATCAGGTGGAGAAATGTGACGCTAATCTAACCAAACACAAGCTAGAGCTATTACAGCCTACCTTATGGTGGGAAGGATAGCAATTTTCCCCTGCCATTATTGCATCCATTGATATTTTATTTGTGGGGTTCTGAATCTTCATGGATGGGGTGGCTTGAGGTTCACCTATAAGGTCACATTAAAGAATTCACAAGGCATCTGACAGATAAAATTGATCTGGTGCTATGTTGAATTTTGTCTGTATTAGGTCTTGCAGATATGACTGAGGTGAGGCCTGGAAAAAAATTATCTGGAAAAAAATTGATCCTGTCAGACCTGATGAAGTGGGCAGGGCTCTGAAGGCTGTTGGCTCAGCCACCTGATTGGCTAAGACCTCCCGAGAGGTGACTTATGATTGTGTCTTGATGGAAGTTAATTACTTTTTAAGACGGGTTGGTTCCACCATCTCTTAAGGCAGTGATAGTCCATCCCTCTTCAAGAGACCATTATTTTGTCCAGTGTTCAAGCTTCCCCTTTTGGGGAACGCTGTGGAGAATGTGGCTGTGCAGAAGCTTCAAAGAATTCTGAAAGAAGTGGATTGTCTGAACTTCTTTTAGTCAGATTCGGGCTCTCCCTGGAATGGAACTCAGACGGCATTGACTACATTCTTGGATCATCTCTGGTAAGAGCAGCATGGGCATAGTATATCTGTCCTTGACCTCTTAGTGGCCTTCAGTAGCACTGAACATGGTATCCTTCTAGACTGTCTGTCCATCATGGGTTTCTGATATCTCCAATATTGTTTCTTGATGGAGTAACACTACCACTGAAAGAGCAGGTTTATGACCCTGGACTCATGGCTCCTGCTAGATGGCAGGTGGAGGCTTTAGCTGTGGGGGGAGGAGGGTTGCCCAGCTGAAGCTGGCGTACCTGTTGCAACTTTACTGGAATGTCACAACTTTACAACAGTGCCTCGTGCCCTCACTATAGTTCCTCCCAACCTGCAGGGCAGCTGTGCAGCAGGACTCAGTAAAGGGACCAAAATACAAAATCATTGTATTAGAAGATACAGCAATAGTACTTAGATTTATATACACTCCATATGCTTCAAGGATTCTTTGAGCGGTTTACAAATATCAGCATATTGACCCCAACAATCTGGGTCCTCATTTTACCAACTTGGAAAGATGGAAGGTTGATTCAACCTTGAGCCAGCCAGTGTCGAATTCCTGGCTGTGGGCAGAATTACCCTGCAATACTGCATTCTAACCACTGCACCACCGGGGCTCCTGGTATCAGAAGATATGCCACCAAGATATGCCCAGGGATGGGGGTACTGGTATATAGGAAAGAATTTATTTTTATGGTGGATGGGAAGACTTTATTTTTCATGTAAACATGCACCCAATTATGGGTCAACCACTGAGTACTGTTTAGCTGAGATTCTGTGACTGTCTGTGTGTAGAGTTGTGATTGCCTTTCTCTGTTGGTGCTGCAACTCACTACAAACTAAAGATATTCCTTCTGCAGAATTCTGATACCTTAAATAATCAGCATTACCTGCTCAATCCGTATTTCATTTCAATTCTGAGATCACATTCTGTTGTGAAGAGGGAATTTCAATGGTTGCAACTTCTTAGACAAATTCCCACATCAGCACAACTACTAAAAGTGCAGTTGCACATTTTTTCATCTAGCTACTTGATCCAGATGATGTGCAGACAGAATTATAGCCATGAAAATAAAGCTCCCCGTGTTTACTCTAAAAAAGAGCACATACTATATACTCAGTGATACATTCTAATGAAATTTTAGCCTCTAAGAAAAATCTTATATTCATAGACACTACTCAAGTTCTTCAATGATGACCCATTGGTTTTAAAAAAAAGTTTAATTCTCTTACCTGATTTGAACCATGAACTAATATGACTGGTTCACAAACGTTCAGCCCAATTAATCAGCCACATTTTAATCTCCCAGGTAATCTTGACCCTTCTCTCTCTCTCTCTTTCACACACACACAGACACACACACACACACACACACACTTGGAAGCATGCCCCATTGTAATCTATAAGGCTTGCTTCCACATTCCGGCACAGACACACACAGAGACACACACACACTTGGAAGCATGCCCCATTGTAATCTATAAGGCTTGCTTCCACATTCCACGTGGATGTGACTAACAGTTGAGTTAGATCAGCAAGCTCCAAGGACAGCAAAGCAAGAAATCTCTCTGAAATATACAGAAATGTCTTAAGTATGCTTTGTGTTTTTAGCAGCCAGCAAGTGCTTGACAGAGAAAAAATGTGGCAGAATTGTCATCACCATAAATACATTCATACATCAAATGGCTTGTTTTCAGTCAGCTTTTAGACAAACACATTCTGTAATGGGGTATTTTTTCACAACACTTTGGAGTTTTATTTAAAAAGACCAGGCACAAAACCAAAAAAAAAATAAATTCCCAAGGGGGGCATCTGTTGTTATTAGGTTTAGTGTGAAACATGATTTGACAACAAAATCTTCCCATTAAAGCTTGGGTTGAAATGCAACATTAAAGGCACTACTGTTTATCCCACTTGCTAATCATATAGAAACGTTACTCTCCCCACCCCCCAATAAGATATTTTCAGAAAACGCCGGACATTTTCGATTGTCATAGATCTCTTTATTCTTGGGGAAGCGAAAGCTTGGCTTGCTAACTTGCTTAAAGTTTAACCCCCACCAGCCTGCTGGCCACCCCTCTCCGGATTCCCAGCCCAGGTGGGCTGTTCGGCGATTCTCAAGCAGAGGAAAAACTGTACTAACAGCAGCAGGATTGCCATGAACGTCGGGATCTCCCACGAGACGCGTGCTAATTAGAGCCCACTGCCTTACTCCGCGAACTCTTTAAAACACTCTTCCGGCATCTTCCTAGGAGTCTGCGCGTGATGAAGGGCGGGGGAAGGAAAGGGTTTCTATGGCACCAGCCAACAAACAGGAGCCAATCCAGCCCGGGCGTTCTTTTTCCCACCGAGTCGGAGCTGCAGGTTCTCTTTTCGAGAAAGAGGTTTCGGTGATGTAGGTGGGTGAGTTTATGGCTGCTGGGCGTTTTCAAAGGAGGCAGAGTGAAAAGCAAACCTCCAAGATCTGCTCGGGTTTCCTTGAGCATCGTCTTTTCTTTATCGTTTAGGTTAGGAACTGGCATCAGGAGACAAGATGTATTTCTGGTGGCGATGCTGAGACACCTTGGTGATTGGGAGGTTCACATTCCGGTCTAGCTATGACAGTGTTTCTCAACCTTGACAATTTTAAGGCATGTGGACTTCAACTCCCAGAATTCCACAGCCAGCAATGCTGGCTGTGGAATTCTGGGAATTGAAGTCCACATGCCTTAAAATTGTCAAGGTTGAGAAACACTGAGCTATGAGGAAGAGTCATTTGCCTCGGTTTCTCAAATGGAGAAGGAGTTATTGGGCTTTGTGCTTCCAAAACCAGAAAGGAAGGACCATTATTCTTGTCCTCATGCTAGCATCGTGACCCCGACAAAGCTGGGGAGCCCATTTGTCCTCCTGAATCAGTTCAGGACACAAGCTCAGAAGTGGGAAGCACCAGGAGAGAAAATGGGTGGACTCTGTAGGAAAGTGGGTGGGTTATCAAGCTCCAAACTGGATATTGTTGTCCTTTCTCCTCTGTGTTAATAGCTGCACCAATATGCATTTACTGTACTTACCCATCCATTTGCTCTCCAGTCTCCACTTTGAGAATGACTCTAGTTTGCTGCTCCAGAACTGAGCCAGCACATCTGTTTCTTAGACTGATTTCCTTCTTCTCCTTGCCCTCTTTTTATGATAGTTAGAGAAAAATCCTGGAGAATTTGAAATCTTGCCCAGTCATTTTGTCTGGTGCCAATAAAGTTTTTAGCAAACTTTTAGTTTTGGATTCTTTATTAGCTACCATTGCTATGATTGCTTTTTATGTAACTGAATAATTGATTTTCTAACACTAAGTCAAAAATGAATGACTGAGGTATAGAATATTAACATTGGATTGCTAGAGAGATGATTGACAGCCTGATCCATTCCATGTCTCTTCAAACCAGCTGGACGTCCTTTTAAGATTATAAGAAGGGCCCTGCAGGATCATGTGTATCTATCTAATCCAGCATTCAGTGTCACATAACAGCTAATCAGGTGCATTCATGAGTCTCAGGCATGAGAGGCAGAGCAGAGCAATAGGTTCCTACTCCTGAGCAAGTAAAATGCTACCAGTGGAACACCACAAAGAATATCATTATACATTTTGAAACCACATGTCTGTGCAGATTTATTCAGGTAGAAATTCAGCTAAGTTCAAAACTGCAACTGTATACACTCTTAATATACAAATAATCTTCTCCAAACATACAGTACCTCTCCAAACAAGGGCTTAGTCATCAACAAAATATTAATGAATGTAGCAGACATGCATCATGAAATTCTATGAAATACAAAATGAAAATAGCCAAAGAAAATCAACCTTGTATAAACTTAATGTTTCAGACAAATCATGGGAAAGATGTCAATTCAAGCTGTTTGTCCATAATTAAACCCTTGGGCAGATCCAATTTTAAACTTATGCAGCATATACACTTTAGTCCTCTATATACCTATTCAGAAGAGTGGCCTTGCTTAGGCCCCATCAATCAAGCAGGTAAATCTAATGAGGGCAGGGAAGCATGTTTTCTCTGTTAGGTGCCTTCCCTCTGGAATAATATTCCCCCACTCCAGAGATCTGAATGACTTCCCATCTTGAGGATGTTGTATGAAGCTATTAAAGACCTGGTTATTCTCCCAGACTAGGGGCAGGATAAAAGTTGAGCCCCTATTGAATGTGAAAGAATTGGGGTTGGTTACTTTATATGTTCGTCTGTCTGTCTGTCTGTCTGTCTGTCTGTCTGTCTGTCTGTCTACTAAACCAAACTGCCTTTCATTTTTACTTTACTTTTTATAATTAAAAGTGGTCTATAAATAGCATAAATGCATAAAAAATAATGTTATGTAGATAAGGAAAGATAAGGAAAGAAATGCAATATTCATTTGGAAGCTTTTAAAAATCTTCATTGGATTCCTGATACAAAAGAGATGAAAATGGCATCCCCCCCCCCCAGTCTGTAGCTACTAATACATTAATATGGTTTGTGCTTCCCTTTTTTAGTGAGATGAACTTTGAAGCTGAGTACATAAACAATTTGCAAAAACAAATCTGCTTACTAGAATATGAGACAACTTATCTATATCCTTTTAAAATAATGGAATTTTATTACAAGTATTTATGGAGGTTTCAAATTAGCTTTATTTCTTAATTTTAAAATGTTCTGTATTTTGAATATCAAGGATACATGCCTGTTTGTTATGAAGGATTGCAATTTATTGGATTAATTTGTTCTAAAAACACAGTGTGATAGGTTTCTTTTTCCTTTCCCCAATATTCAGTTTCTTTATTTAGGTCAAAATTAAGTCACACCTTTTGTTAACAGTATATCATGTACTTTCTCTGTTTTCAACACTAAAATTGGAATGACACATTTATTTATAAATTTGTAAGACCACCTAACTCACAAAATGTGACTCAAGGCAGCTAACATAGGATTAAAAGGAATAAATGATTAACAAAAAAACATCAAAGAACCATAACAATACAATATGAATAATACAGAGATTAAAAATCAAACATCTTCAAAATCCTAAACCAAGTGAGTTTTCCAGATGTCTTAACTCAGTTCCCAGAAGAAATACAAAGTTTTTAACACCTTGTGGAAGGCCAGCAACGTTAGGCCATCTGAATCTTGAGGAGTATGTGTTCCAAAGGACAGGCACCACGACAGAGAAATCATGTCTTCTGGGTCCCATTAGATGGCATTGTGTCATGGAGGGGACCTGAAGCATGCCCAGTTTGTCAGATCTCATGCGATGGGCAGACATAATTTGATGTAGGTGGTCCCACAAACAACATGGCCTTTGTAGTTAATAGGTACCTTGAATTGCAGCCAGAGCCTGTAGAAAGCTAGTGCAATAGTAATGTTACATTTGCACCTTTAACTATACATATCAGTATCTTCTTGACCAATTTTAACTTCTGGTATTCAAAGGTAGCCCATGTACAGAGTGTTGCAATAGCTCAAGTGGAAGGTAATGAAGATATGGGTAACCATTAGCAAAGCCTCCTGATCATGGAAGAGACTCCATGGCATACAATATGTAGTTGTAGAAAGGTCCTTTTGACCACTGCTGCCACCTCTTTTTTTAGCAGGAGCCACAAATCAAAATTACCTCCAGATTGCACACCTGTCTGGGGGGAATACAATCCCATCAAGAACTAAACAGAGAAAATATCCAAATCCAGATCCAAAACCCAGAGCCGTCTTGTTTAGATTAAGCAAAATGTGTTTCTCTCCATCCAGATATCTATAACCTCCAGATATTGGAAAATAAATGTGATGCTACTATTTAGTCAGGTGGGGAAGAGATACAAAGTTGATGATACTTAACCTCATATTGATGGCTGGATTTGTCTACTGGGTTCATGTATATTAAATAGGAGCAGAGAAAGAAGAACCTTGAGAAATCCTGCAAAGCTGCAGTCTATGGCTAGATCTCTTTTCTCCATCAACATCACCTGGAACATCTATTGAAGAAAGGAGGAGAGTTGCTGCAACACTCTGCCCCTATTCTCAACCCTCAAAAACTGATCCAGAAAAGTACCACGGCTGTAACCTGTGCTTTATTGGATTCACTCTTTATTTTCTTCAGGTGGCGTTTGGGGCATCTCTTCTGCTGCTTCATCTCTGGAGAAGTTTCATGAGCTGAGAGAAGTTTCATGAGCTGAGAGTTCACACATGTGCAATCTGATCACAGGCTGTTGTCATCTCCTTATTCCAGACAGTGACTACAATCTCACTCAAACCATGCATTAGACACTTAGGAATAGCCCCAAGTTTCCTCTGGATCCCAATAGAGTCCATCTAGCACCCTTGATGCACCAATCAAATAAATCTTTCCTGTGGTGGGAAGTGGGTGCAGAGAATTTCAGTGGAACAAATCTAAAATTAAACCCCCGGTCTTTCATCTCCACTGCATTTCTCAACTATATACAAAATTGTTCTTTGGGAGGGAAGAAAAAGCATATAATTCCCTTATGATACTTAATATTCAAATGAAATGACCAATGCCTGTCTATACATAAGAATTGTTTTCAATAATATAAGAGAACAATGCAAGCTTGGAGACCAAATAGTACCTTTATATCCTCCTTTATATTGCATATGGATACTTTTCTTTTATACTGTTTAAAAAAACCCTGAAAAGTAATTTATTATTTCTAGGACAATTGAAGAAAACTTACATTATGTCCCGCCTGAAAAAGTGTACACCATGTATATTTAGCGCTTCAAAGGAGTGCCAAAATCACTCATGCTGATATCAGAAATTTAGCATTTTTGAGGTTGAATTTTTTTGAGATCATACTTTTATGATAATAGAAAATTCATGATTACTCAAGATTAACATATTTCTGATGTTAACATATTTATGAAACTAGAAATTGATCTTTCAAACATCATATACCTTGTTCCTTAATTATGCACCATTTACTAGAGAGAAGGCTAAGAATGCTACACATATCCCACCTAAAATTACTAGAAAAGCTGAGACGCTATTGCAGGCAATGAAGGTAACTTCTGTTAAGGGCTTATTTGATTCTCTTGCATTGCCATTCCAATGTCAGTATCCTCAATGATCACTACAGGCTTCTGCGGCTGTATCGAGATGCTCTTTCCACAGCACCTTCATGTTGCTTTTAAGCTGGCGTGATGTTCATTTGAAAGCAAATTTTGAAAGCAAAATTGTCAAGGATATCTTTGCATCTACAGGAACACTCTGTGTGATTGCACTGAGTCTTTATAGTGTAGTCTTTCCATTTTATTTAAATTATAAATATTAGTTATACTATAACTTCACATAATTACCTGCTTGTAGAAATAACCCATTCTTGTAATTGCTTATAGAGCAATACTTAACTAGATGATCCCATAGTATTTATTTATTCCTTAATTTGATGCCTTTTCTTCATTTGTTTATGGATTGATGTGCAGCCAGTTTAGTTAATTTTGCTTATTGTGCATATTGAAATAATCAAGTTAGTAAACTGTGGTTTAGTTAAACTGAGTAATGTATATGTAAACAAGTTAATCTAATATGGCACTGAGATTTCTAACTGCTTGGGGATTCAGTGACATCAATAAGTGTCAATACTTAATGACCACATAGGTAAATTTTCTCCATGATGATCTGTTCCAGTCTGGTCCTTCAAGTCTTCCTGCAATACGCTCATCATTGCAGTAACATCCACTTTGCTACTGGGTTTTCCTTCTTTCCCTTTCTTCTATTTCATTCCATCTTTCTAGGAGCTAGGTCTTCAATGATGAATCCAAAGTATGATAATTTGAGCCCATTCATTTGTGTCTCAAATGAAAACTCTGGATTCATTTATTTGATAATCTATTTGTTTGTTTTCTTGGCTGCCTGTGGTATTGTCAATAGTGTTCTTCATTATTCAAAAAACATTAATACTCATTCTATCCTGTTCAAAGTCCAAATTTTCTTCCCTGCAGCTGAGTATTTCTCCAAAACCTTCATTGCTACTCTACTATTAGGCTGTGGCAAATTTCTGGTTCTTTTACTTTATTGTTGATTCTGAAAAGCAAAGCTACTCAGTATTTCAATATCTTCACTGTCAGGTTACTTCACTGAAAGTAACGTGGATGTGAGTTTCTTGGCACTGTTAAGAATCGGTGTGGATCATAGCCTAGGCTTCCACAATGAGATGCCATTTGGAACGCTTGACTTCAACTGTGAGCTATACTGATTGTGAATGGTAGGAAATAAAATCTTAATTCTCTAGATGGCAATAATTTGAGGAGGATCTCACCTGTATTGTAACTGATTTACTAGTCATCTTTAATCCTAGTCTTTTAATTGAAATAAATGCATATGCATGGAATTAATCTACTGCATATTTTCAAAGGAACTGGAAGCTACCATAAACAGAACAGAAATAGATATAGCAAAGAAAGAAAATAGCACCATGCTCTATGAAGCTGAAACTCAAGCAATACACAAACGTCTTCAAATACTGTCTGGTAATGAAAAACTTTTCTTCTTATGGGCTGTCATTCTTGCTATTAAGCTAAATTTATGAATATGAACTGGATCACTGTTGAACTTCTATATCTCTAAATGTCTATCTAAAATGTAGTCATATTCTGTATTGCAGTAAGAATGTGACTGTTCTAATAATTATCAGAAATAGGGGAAATCTGGCTTTACAAGACACCGGAGCTTTGTGTTACAATCACACTTGTAATACCAAGCAAAGCTGTCTTTTTTTTTGTTTTTAGACTAATATGTTTGGACGTCCAGAAGAAAAGGAGAAAGACGGATGTTACTCTAAGCCAGGGGTCTTCAATCTTAGCCCTTTTATGACTTATGGCTAAGGAATTTTGGGAGTTGAAGTCCACAAGTCATAAAAGGGCCAAGTTTGAAGATCCCTGCTCTAAGCAGTGTAGGAAATTAAGGCTTTCCCAATGTTTGCTAGATTAGGAAATATGAGTATTTGTTTGATGTTTATTAGAATGCCCATTTTGGAGCAGATGCTATCAATCCATGTTGCATTATAATCCCATGTCATGGTTTATAAACTACAATTGGGCCAGTTTGTAAGCCTATTGCTCAAACAATATATGAAACCACTCACTTCTAATACAGCTTTCCTTTCCTAGGTAGCTAACTGGATGAAAGCACCAAAGATTATTTTCTAAAACTTTTTAAACAATACTTCTTCTATGAGAGGGGAGAGTTCCATAGTACAAACTCTTGCTACTCTAGAATTCTCCATTCATGGCTGAATTTACTAGTGCCCCTCAACCTTTTATAAAAGAAAAATATCACAGTTTGTTATTTCCTTCCCTACTAAAACCATAATAATGGAGGGCACTAAAACTCAGATTGCTAGAGCCAGTATTCCCATCTGCATTGCTGTTGGAAAAAGTAACCCAGGCAAAAGGAAAAGGAAAAAGAGCACCAAGATTTTGAGTGCAAAGCTGTCTAGCTATCTTCCTGGACTGAGGGACACTAAAATATAAACACATAACTCTGTACATATTTATGTAATTGCATGAGAAGAGCTTAGTGATTTTCAAGAAGTAGCACATAAGGTGCTGCAGCAACTCAAATATTGTTTGTTTCCATTCTTTGCATACTGTAAGCATGTTTTATCTGGAAGTAAGCCCTGCTTTGTTTCAGTAGGTTATCTTTCCTAATAAGTACTTTTAGAATTCCAGCCTCAGAAACATCTGGAGGCTTAGAGTCATAATTCAACTAAGCAGTCACACAAGAAAGGAAATAGATGTTTACAGGAAGATAATGCGTATTTTAAATGTGTGGAGCGATCCTGATGATTTCCTGCAGATGCAAGTGCTAAAGAAAAACTGCTATTAATGGAGGAGGTTACAAAACTGAAGAAAATGGTTGAACACTCTACCCAGGCTAATTCACGCAAAGAAGCAGAACTGCTAAAAATTCAGAGAGAAATGCAAGAGACTGTGAATTCAGTGAAAGAAAAAGAACATGCTGTCTGCCTTTTGGAATCAAAAGTAAGCTATTGCAGTTAAGATATTTACCAAAATGCATCTGTGAGAGAGTTGTTGCTATGTTAGAGGCATACATGGTTGAATTAATTTTAATTTTAAAATGAGAGACTTGTGATGAATAGACACTTCTTTCTTAAAAGTGAAAATAATATGTATTTATTACCTAAACTATAATTTATCTAAACTGTGTCTTCAATCTGCTTTTGCTAATCCAAATAGAGTATATTTCTGAAGAAGAATATAATTCCATTTTACTTAAATACAAACTTTAATATATATATAGTTCTGAAAACTTTGGTCATTATGTAGACCTATTCATATATAAAGTAAAAATTTGTGACTTGGATTATTTGAAGAAGATCAGACTTATGTTATTATTCTTTACTTATTGAAAATTGATTTTGGAACTTTAGTTCTATGAAATAGCCAGCGATCTCTGTCAATTAAGCCTTCAGTCTTGTTATGAAACAACAACCTTCATAATTTTAATGGAAAGCTTTGAGCATTAAAACTCACGTTCATATCTGCTCTAATGAAAATTGATTAAAACTGATATTTGAATAATAGAGCTAGCTCTAGTATTAAAATGAATATTGCTTCCAGAATTATGGACAGGGATGAAGTTTTCTTACCCCATCAACCACCTCCAGCAGTGAGTCCCCTTTTTAGTAAAACTGGAATTAATATCTGGTGAAGTTTGGTTTAAACACAAGAAACAAGATGCACAGAATCTAGAGTTATGACAAATGCAATATCTCATAACAAATGAGCAATCTGGAAGGCGAGTGCCTTACCGCTATATAAGCAACAGATAATAAGTGTACATTCCTTATGCTAGAAATGGATCGTCCTATACTCTCACTGGAAGAATCTTTAATGATACTTACAAGAATAGCAGCAAAGCCTGAGGGAAGGGAATGTTTAGCATTCATTTTATTGTATGTTTTATTTAGTGTCAGCAGAAGATTTGGCAGTACCAGGACATGGAAAAAAACCTGTCAGAACTCAGATCACAGTGCACACAACTGCAAGCACTGCTCTACCGCTTAGAAGAGAAATTATCAGCAAGCTCCCAATCTCCACAAGAGACTATTGTCAAGGAACTTAGGTAAAGACATTTCTGTTATCCACCTTTTAATATTTTCAGAGCTATTTGGTATCTCTTGTTCATACTGGATAGCTAAGCATTTCTGCATAATCATCTATAGTACAGTGTAGTATAGTAATAAAATCAAAAGAGATAATGGTAGCATAGAAATAAAAAAGAACCTTATTTTTGAATGACCCATGATAATTACTATTTAAAATGATTTATACTTAGTGAGGAAGCTGAAAAATTAAGGCAGATCCTCAAGGAAAATGAGCTTTCAGCTGATGAAGATAAATATTTGCTCAACAAGATGGCAGAAGATTGTGGACATCTGACAAAGGAGAATAGTCTTTTACATGCTCAAATACAGAAAGTTACCAAGCATCTAAAGCAGGTAGGCCTCATTTGTTCCTCAAATTTCAGCCTCGAAAAGATTAAAAGAAACCACAAAGAAATTTCATTCCAAGATTTGTTGTTCTTTGTAAATTATGAATTTTCATAACATTGATTGAAAGATCCATGCACAAATATATAACAGACATTATAAAATTGAAAATTTTTACTATAATAATAGCCATAAAGGCCAAAACAGGGGAACTTCAAGGGAATTCTATTATGTCTTGTGATTGGAAAAGTAGCCATAAAAATTTTATGGCTTATGAGTTGAAATCAGCAGCATACTATTTACTGCTATTTTTCAAATTATTTCTTCATATTTTCATTGCTGAGGAAGGAATCCCAGGATTCAGTGAGGCCAAAAGTGGGGATTCAATTTTTTCTGATATCCTCTGTCTTCCAACTGTGTCTTCCATGCAGCAGTGAATAAAATAATTCTTATCAAATTCTGAGTTGATCTCTTGCATGAGAAGACTGAAATTAATTTTTGCCTAAATGAAATCAGTTGTATTCCTAGTTGTTCACCCCTTTCTTACAGACAAGGTGTGCAAATAAGCAAAAACTTGGTGATAAGTTTGTTATTGCCATAAATCAAATTGATTTTTTTAAGGCGGCAACTAAATGTAACGGGTTCAGTCTGCCAAAGTACAAAGCTATTGCATTTGGTCATTCCTTTGAATTCAGTGTTCTTATTAGAATATCAGTATCAGCTGTGGTGCAATTGCAGAATCTATGATTCCCTAAAATAGAGCATAAATAATTCCAGATTGGTACATGCATTCAAAGCATTTTGAGTTTTTGAGACTAAGAAATAGTCTTTACTCTCTGCATAGGAATCACTCCACAATGGAAGAGTGGTGTTCAGTGCTAAAGCTGTACTGTGTTTGAAAATGATCTGTTTTTCCACTCCCAACTAGCGCAAGCGGGAAGTTAAATCACCTATTAATACATACATTCTATGGCGAGTGCCCCAAAAGTGGCCAAGAAACAGTTGATACATTTTACTTAAGTCTTAGAACTAGAGACTGCATGTACAACATGCTCATTTTTTTAAAAAAATGGTAGATATATAATTATTTGCATGTCTTATAACAATTATGTGAAGTTAAGAGTGGAAATAGCAGTAGTACATCAGATATACTATGATTTGTTTTACTAATATACCATCTCATATATATGCTATAGGAAAGGCAGCTGAGAGCGGAGGAGACTTCTTCCTATTCAAGAAGAGTGGCTGAGCTAGCATCAGGAAGAGAGAAAACATGGCAATTTAAGCTGAAACTCACCCACTTTAAGACTCTGTTACAAAACATAAGACAGAAAGTTCTTAAAGCCCAGGAACAGGTTGTAACAATATTTTATGTAAATCAAATTCCATTGGTAGAATATAGATGTACCTGGGGAATTAAGCAATGCTGACGACCTATCTCAGTGTCTGAAGGCTGTGAGCATCTGAATGGGAAAAAGTAGGCTTTAACTGGACTATGGTTAAGACTGAGTGGTTCTGATTTTTAGGACCTGCTGGTTCTACAACTGTGACATCTTTGGTGCTGGATTGGGATGTATTGTCCCAGACAGACAGCTTGACAATCTGGGGGTCCTCCTAGAATCATGACTCCTGCTTGAAGAGCAGGTAACAGTTGTAGCTAGGAGGGCCTTTGCACAACTTCACATTGCGTGCCAGTTGCACCTGTTCCTATATTGAGGGCCTCTCCTCACAGTCACTAGTCAACTTACTATTTGGATTACTGTAATGCACTCTACGTGGTGCTGTCCTTGACGAGTAGCTAAGTTTCAACTGGTGTGAAATACATTAATTATGTGTATTCCTAATAGAACACAGGTTAAACCTCTTCTCTGAGCTACATTGGCTGCCAGTTTGTTTCCAAGTCAAATTCATGGAGTTGACTTGGAACTGATTACATCTGTCCAGATCCAACAGAGGGCATGCTATGAGTCCTATTGGCTAGGGAACTACATTTGGTAGACCCTAGGCCAGTGATGGCGAACCTTTTAGAGACCGAATGCCCCAAAACTGGCCCTGCCCTTGCTCCACCCCCTGCCCCGCCCCACCCTGCCTGCAGGGCCAACTCACCACCTCCAGGGCCCGCCGCAGATCGCCCAGGCAGCCCAGCAGCACCATGGCGGCCACGTCCTCTGTCCACGCCCTGCAGCATCAACTGTGCACATTGGGGTGTGAGGGCAGAGTCTTGTCTATGCTGCCTGGCTTCCATGTTCTTGGCTGCACTGCTCCGTGTGGGCCATGCTCAGGGGTGACTCTCCTCCAGGGAGGCTGCTGCTGAGGAGAGGGTCATGGGCGGAGGCAAGGCTGGGGCAATGGCATGTGTGCCCACAGAGAGGGCTCCAAGTGCCGCCTCTGGCACCCGCGCCATAGGTTCACCACCACTGCCCTAGGCAACAGGATGTCTCTGCTGTGGCAACTACTCTATGGAATATTCTTTCCCCCAAAGTGAGGCTGGTTTTATCACTTTTTATTTTCTGAAGATCCCTTAAAACCTGGTTGTGCCATCAGACTTGGAGACCTGCAGGTGACTGGTGAATTAGTAAGGTGGCTACATTATTATTATCGTATTTCCTTTTCAGCTTTTATAGTTGTTTTTAATAATATTTATAATATTGTTTTTGTATTTATTAATTACCTCTTTTAACTTTGTTGTACATTAGAGTCACTTGTTGTGAGATGGGCAGCTATTTAAAGTTGATAAATAAATTAAACCCAAACACAAGAGCCAATATACATTCCCTTCCTGTACTAGGAAATTCTATTAATATCCCTTGGATTTTGCAGACAGTCAAAATTAAGTTTAAATTAAAACAAGTTTAGTTTTTATCCTGATCTCACTTTGTGGAAAGTGATTTCCAGTATGCTATTTGACAGAACTGTTCTCATCTGAAAAAAATTATATTCATTTGGCATATCAATTCACACATACATGAAGCGTGCTTAAGATTGTATGCAATTATACAAGCATAATTAAGGATAAAATTAAGACATTCTTTGAATCCTTGTTTACAACAATGTTGTTGTAAGATTTGCCAGTAAATGTGACATGTATGTAAAATAAATGTAAACATATCCTTTCTGAACAATCTTCCATATTCCATTAAAATCAAGGAAGCCTATCACACAAGCATGTTAATTAACTACATATTTTTAAATGAAATTGAAGTTTAGACACTAATATATTTCAAAATCATGCAAATAGTTACATCTACAAGAAAGAAAATCTATGGATCACAAAAGGCAACATCTTCATACACAACTGATTGATTTAGAAAATCAACACACCAAAGTGCAACTGGAAAATTCTAAACTGAGAACAGAGAAAAATCATTGGGTGGAACATATTTCGCAAATGCACAAACAGGTATCTTAAGCAACATACCTTTTTATTTACATTCTATGCTTTTGACCTTTTGAAAAAAACAGAATCTCGGTAATTGGCTCACCATATTTAACTATGTCTAGTATAAAATGCAGCAAATGACTGGTTATGACTCAAAATAAAATATTTATGAAAACTGCAGTTAGAGAGCCAGATACAATTCTGTGAACATTCAGGGGAAGAACTAAAAACAACCTACGGTATGCATTCTTGCTGGCAATTTAAACAGTTAAGTGAATTAAGATTACAACATTCATTAATCAGGGTTAAACTGCTATTGGGATCTTCATGTTCAGGGATAACATACCACTGAATAGGAGATGCTGGGATAAGGAAAGATCGAAGTCTTTTGTGTTCTGCTGGATTTCTTTCCGAGGCATGTGATTGGGGGAAAGGATGCTGGATTTATAGTATATGTCAAGTTGAAATTAGTGCTTTTCAAAATGACCTGAGGCTTTTAGTTATATAACTTTCAATAACAAGTTTATCAACTCTTGAACCATTCATAATCCTATAGTACATGACCTACAGCGTGATCTGAAACTTATTCAAGTACTGTTAATAAACTCACTTTGGGGGTGGGGAGATATTTTGGCCTACCCCTTTTTACAAAACTACTTCAGCTCATTTGACATTTTGAGGTTGTGTGAACTGCTCACTTCAAGTCCTACCACAACATTTCAGTTGGGTTAGAAAAACAATTCCAAAATGCAAATATTCTTCTGCATCCGTCTTTCTGTTGTAGATTTGTTTGTTTAGGATCATCTTTGTGCTGCATGACTCAGATTTGGCTCAGAGATACAGTGATGTCTCTTGTAGAATTTGATAATATGCAGGTAATGGAACTCGATGTCTAAAAGCTAATCCTATCATCCAGAGGCAGCCTCTTGATCTTGATTTTTATTGAACAGCCATTTGTGAAGAGAATAGCAGCATATATACAATAGAAGATGCAATTATCATTAACTGCATAATCAGGGATGATAGAAGCTAAGTTTGATCAAGATTTTCTAGTATGAGCATCAATAATCCTTTTTTGAAGTCCATAAAGATCTCTGGATCAAGACATGTGTACCATCTTTTGTGGGAGAGTCTTCCAAACACAGATCTGATTTGCAATTTAATTGGAATTACCAGTTGAAAAGCTGCTTGCCCTAGGGCCTTATATACTTTTTCCAACAGTCAGTGAATGTTGGCTTAATATATTCAATAAAGACATGACACAATAGTCTTTGTTAATCTCTTTATTAATGGAAGCTTAACTGAAATTCTGATTATGTTGTCACACTGCCATACTGCAGAATTACTGATAGTGTGAGTCACAGACTTCTCTCAACAGTGTATAGTATTTTGTTGCTATAACAAGCAGATCATTAAACCTGCTTTTCCTGGCACCTGTAGAAGTTGTTGTTTGCTTGACCCACCGAGTGTAGGGATTAAAGTCAGTCATGGAAGGTCACTGGGACATTTTAGATCAGTCATTCTCAGCCTAAACTAAATTACAACCTTGTTGTGTGTGTGTGTGTATGGGGTATCTGGAAAAGGGAGTGCTAAGTATGACCTTTTGAGCTGCTGAAGGAAAGGGGAAATATATCAAATCAATTATAAAAATGTTAACTCCTCCTATTCATTATTGAAACAATTTAAGATTTTGCCTAATTTTATGAAACTTACTCCTGCATGATGCCAAAGATGTCTATCATCCAATGATCTACTTTTGTAATAAAATGTGATTAGTAGGCAAAACATTCAGAAAATCAAAGGATCAGATTTAGTGATCAAAAGCATACATTTTAGTGACACCACGTAATGTTGTCCTTTTCGAAGGTTAGCAGAGTAAGAAAAGGGGCGTTGTCTTACCTGAATGCCTTTTCTCAGCACTGGAGATGGAGAATCCACCAATGGGTTTAGACTGTGTTCCTGCCCAATCAGATCAAGTCAGCCAAAGTTGCCACGCCCGTCCTGGACCATAGAGATCCCAGTCTTGACTTGATCTCGCCCAGGACACACGTGCAAGATTGGCTCTTAGGCAGGTACAGTCTCTATTGGTGGATTTTCCATTTCCCCAGTTTGCAGGGCAGTGCTGTATTCAGCACAGAATTTGGCTTCCTTTTAACAATTATTCTCCATTCAGGAACATCTTAGCTTTCCCAATCAATTCCTGATTTGGTTTGTCAGGCATTTCTAGAAAACTATCATGATTATGGCTAAAAAGTAGAGAGCTTTTATTGCAATAGGGCAACATATAACAAAAATAGTAAAGATATAAAAATGTTTAATGTTTAAGCCATGGCTAGCAATTCAATAAACCAGATTAAAGATGGCCTTCCATGCATACTTAACAGTTCCACAAAAACGATTCTCTCAAAAGAGCCCTTTCTGCATATTTAATAACTTGATAGGTTTGTCCAGTTCTCAATCTACTGGATAGTATGTATGACTTTAGAACTTGAGAGCCAGACCTGGAGTCAATCCCAAAAGTCTGACCAGTGAAGGTCTCTACGAGATTAAAATCACCACAGATGATGACCACTGCAATTATGACTGTTTTACATTCATTAATTAAAGCTTCCGATTCCTGATTATGCTGAGAAGCTTGCAAATAGTTTAAGGATTAGGCAAATGAGGAATGGAAAATAGTTGCCAAATCAGTCTTCATGTACCCTTCCTGATATAGGAAGGGTACATGAACTATGACGCTTACATAGGGTTTTCTCCCCAGTATTTTTAGAGATGCTTTTATTAAATGTTTTGAAAGAATACATGATTCTATTTCACAATAGGAAAGTTCATCTCCTTTTTCCCAACTTTGTAAGCCTCTAACAACTATAGCAGCAAATTCTAGGACTTGGCTTCAAAAACTTTTGCAGCAGTTAAGTATTGCGAAAGGTTTTTTGGACTAGAATCCTCATTTGGTGCATAAAATTTAGTTGATAATACAATTTAGTTGATAATACTATAACCTCTGAAAGCCTATATGATATCATGATAAAATTTGTTAAGGGTCCAACCAACTTTAGAAGAGGACAGGAATAATCTAGTCCAACTCCTTGCTCTGTACTAGATCCATTATAGAATTTCAAGTTGGCTATTCAGCCTGTTTGAAGAAAGAAATGTACTTCAGACCATTGGCTGACAACTCTTAGCATAAAGAGTTCGTAAAGTAGCATTTAAAGCTAATATATAAAGTCTAATCTAAATGTGTCTAAGTAATTGGATCTGGTAGAAGAGAACAAGCCCACCCCCTTTCTCTATGTAACAACTCTTTAATATCTGAAGATTATTCTGTCTTGTTGCAGTGTTCTATTTTGCAAGTTAAACATATCCAGGTTCTTTAACTGTTCCTTGTTAAGACTTAATTCCAAGCCACACAACATTTTGATAGCCCTCCTATGAATTTGCCTATCAGTTCAGAATGTGGTATCCAGAACTGGATGCAGTATTCCAAATGAACCTGACCAAAGCAGAGTGAACAAGAGCAGAATCGGAATTCCATGCTGTTACACACAGAAAAATAGCATTTTCTGTTTTTAGCAGCCATACCTATTAATTTCTGTTCAACGTATGATCTTCTAGAACTTTTTCATGTTTCTGTCGCTACCTGTGGACTTTAGCGTTAGACATGAGAAAATTATGCAGCTAGAAATTTGCTTTTAAAATTTTCTTCAAAATGCTGGTTTCTTCAGTATTACTGAATTATATTTTGTATTTTGCTGAAACCAGATCACCATGTCAAATATCTCATAATTACATGTATAATTAAATATGAAGATTAATGTTAGTATAATTATTGCAATATTCAGAATTAACACTTTTTTCCTATTACACAGATTGCTGAAAACCAGGACATCAGTTTTCTGCATAGCCATGTTTATAGCTTGTCGTGTGATCTCAACAACTTGAAATCTGAAGTCAATATGGCCTCTATTCCTCAGAAGGAAAAGGGAACGTGATCTCCAATATATTAACAACAAATTGTAGTTCAGTGAACTAAGATGAAAAGTAGTTAATTTTCCCTTATATAAATATCATTCTTTGAAAAGTTTCTTTAAATCAGAAAGTTGTGTTTTATACATGGTACTATTTTTTTTAAAAAAAATTTGCCTTAGAGATCTTAAGATTAACTAGGTTTTTTATTTTAAATAATATTTTAAGTATTTGCATATTCTCAAGATATTAAATATTAATTTCAAAATAGTTTTAATACTTTTCTGGTTATTAATGGATCAAATTCACTATCTGAAAAGAAATTGTCACAAATCAGTACTAGTGAAAAAATTGGACTTGTATGGTATTCTTATTGACATGATTATATTTAGCACACAGCAAAACTGTGCAATGTTTTCATGAGAGCAAATAAATTACCTTTTTTAAAAGTCAGAATTCTTTCCGTACTCGGCTTCCTATAGGATCAGATTCATTAACTCTTCACAATATCTCTAATGGTTAGTGCCATCTGAACCACCCTATTCTGCAGACATCGAGTCCAAATTACCCCATTTATTTTCTAGAAAAATAAAGAGGGGAAATCTAAGCCTTTTATACACAGAATGTACAAACTTACAGCAGTACCAAGGGAAGATCTTAGTGCCAGGTTGCTGTTGTACATGTTCTACACAATTCTCTCTACAGAAACAATTCAGTAGAGAATCTACTACTTAGTATAGCCATGCAAATAATTTGGAAGGGCACTTCAATTCCCACAACTTTACAATCAGGACATCATTCTAAAGATTCCGTTTGACTGCTTCAAAAATCTTCCCCTATCTCCTGTTTTTCTTCACAGGCAGTTTCAGCAGATCTTTTGTGCATACAAATGCATGAACTGTCAAGCTGAGAAAGGGTTTATATGAATCACTGGGTTTTACATTTCTGTTCACTTGGCAAATTGCTATGATTGATCTTTCCCTGCCCCAACCCCAATTAATTTCCTAGCCCTACTACTCCTTTTAGCAGTTCTACTTGGTCTATCTGCTATTGAACAAAACATATATGAATTATGAATATGTCAAAATCTAGTCAACAGTCAAGAAATTAAGACTGCTGTGGGGATGCATATTAAGAGTTCCCAGGTTTTCTGGCTGACAAAACACTATTGCAAGAAAAGATAGTGACCCATGATTCAGCATGTTCAAATTAATAATACTAAGCAGCCTGTACATCCAGTTAGACGGAGCTGATGGATTTCTATCATACACTTCTGCATAAATAGAAGCACATGTACCATGCTCTACTGGGTGCTAAAACAACGCACATTTACAAAAAGTATATTTTTAAAATATATTTTAAAATGTTATAAAACTCTGCAGACATATATAAAGGGAAACTGAAATTCAAAGGGGCTTATATAAACTAATTTGATTGAAAAAATAAAACGGTAAGCAAATTTGTGATTTTAAGGCTAATAGCCAGTCTAAACAAAGCAAATACATTACCGTAATGCCATAATTCTTGTAAAGCTATAAACAAAGTCCAGAGCTAAACTAAGGCACATACCCCTTTAGGAGAGGAAGACTGAAGAGATACCCATCTACGTTTTTTCTTGCAGTTTCTTAAATTGTATGCAATAGCTTAAAATATTTAGATACATTTTAAACTATGGACTTTATTCTTTTTATTATGCTTCACATATTTACACGTAACTTTTTAAATTACTATATTTTGCTTTAGTTATGTACGTTTTCATATCGTAACAGTGTATTTAGGAAATAAAGCTTGCTTAAATAAACATGCTTCTTGCCTGAAGCTATTTTGGAAAATTGCTTAATAGTAGTATAGCTAACCGTCCAAATCCAGCTTAAACAAAGGTACTAGATAGATTGGTTTTTAATAGCAGTGCAGAATGTATCCCAGAGAAATCTAAGCCAATTTGAGGACTGATATGGAAGTTAGGATTCAACAATAACCGATTCTTAATCTCTGGTTTATAAAAAACTTTTCCCCAAAATATAAATTATCAACATTTTTCTTTCAATTAGTTATAACCAATAAAAAGATCAGTCTAGAAGCAACTACCATGGGGTATCAGTTGTTTAAAGTCAACAGTTTTCCTTGATAAAATAATCTTGATAATGCTTGTGTTTTGTTAAAGGAATAGCCAAAAGGCCACACTTAAGATATAGTTAAAAAACAAAAACAAAGGCCTGACTAGAGATGCAAAATGCATAATTTATCCAAAGCCAACAAAAAATCCTGAACATGTCTACAGTTTTTTCTTTTAAAAAAGATAACCCGAACAAATCACAACAATTCTGTAGTGTACCAAGTGTATATTTCAATTTACTGTATTTAATCTAACAACAGATTTGGTCATAATTTACCAGATATACACAAATGATTTAAGTAGCAAAAGGAGATTCGGTTTCAAGAGAATAAGTAAAATACATTAAGAATGTAAAGCCAGGTCCAGTTTAAGCATTAAGTGAATAGTATGTTATAATAAAGCAGATTTAGGTGATTTTCGGACAAGATAGGTAGATCAATTGTAAACTATTTTATGGGGAATAAATGGGATGGAAGAAATCTTTATACTATAACTTACATATTCACAGAGCAGAACATTTACTTAACGTTTAAAATACTTCCCATTCATATTATGTTTCCCCGCTATTTTCTACTTTGGACCCCAACAGAATTACACATTACTCATTTCAGTCTAGAAGAGAATAAGATGTATTCAGTTCTTAAAAGAAAACCCAAGAACTACTTATCTGTCAGGTTTACAGTGATGTGGAATCTACCAGTGATGTATTTGGATATAAAAGATTATACAATACCCATATGATTCATCAGTCTGTTTCATCCAGCAGAAACAGTGTCCAACATTAATCCATTGTTGTATTGAAATAAGGAATAATAAAGCTGTCTCTTTAAATATATTTTATATATATTTATATATATATATATATATATAAACTTTGAACAGATGGAGCACCATTAAGATTCTATCTGTCAAAGCAATTAAGTTTACCACACAACTACCATAATTTAGTTCGCAGATATAAAATAGGAAAATATACTCATTTTAAAGTTAATAAACTCAAATATAGTGACCCTCAACTTATAATACAGTACTATCACACTGGCCTAGCTATGTATTATGATAAATGCTGTGCATATTTATTCACTGTGACATAGTAATATATTGAATGCAGTGTCTAAACTTCAGGTAGCTCACGTGCATTCAGGCTAGATGAAGCTGAGAAGACTAAGCATAAAAAAGGTGCAATACCCTCCCTTCCCTCAGAAAAAAAGGCCTGAAATCATTGGTACAATATAACAAGTTTAGAAAAGATTTATGGCTACAAAAATTCAAGTTTCAATGTCTCATCCAAAAACAGAAGCAAAGAGCATTGGGGATAAATAGCTCCAGCAATTATACTAACAATTTTCTTTTTTAAAAAAAGAAGTTCCAGCAAATTAAGCTGCCAAGTTAAACGTATTTTGTTTGGTATATAAAAGAACCCCCAAAATAGGAGAGAAGCAAAGATTCAGTTTGTGTTTACTTTAATGAAAAGCAAAGGGGCACAAAAAAAAGAGACAGCCTTATGTCTAATTTTTCACATAACAAAAACTAGACAAAAGCAGACAAATTGGGCTGGACTATTAAAATCAAAAATATCAATTACACGCCTTTTCAGATTCTAGGACTCTAAGCTTTGTGATGGATTGAGGTATACAGTAGTGAATAAAAGTAATAGCCAATAGAATAGTGCTAACAAAAACATAAATTAAAATATGGGCAGCCACGCCAAAAAGTGTCTAACATAAAGTTCTTTAAGTGACAAGGAGAACATTTCTTTCACTCCAATCACAATCTTCCTTGCAGTTTTAAGTCATTATTAACATTTGGTGAAAGAGCTGTAGCATTTTGAAAACTCAAAGTACTGAAACCTAGTAAGTCAGGAAATTAAATATCAGTGATTAGGTTTCCAGGACTTGTCAGCTACCATATCCTGACAAAATTAAGTGAGACAGATTCATGTCATCCAGAAGCTGGATATTGAAACTATCAAGGGAAGGGCAATGGCAAGAGAGGTGAGGTAAAGCCTCCTTTTAGGAAACGCGAGCCACTATGCCAGACTAGCCACTTTTGTTCAAAAACTATGATTGGAATCAAGGGAGCCATCTCCAAAAATTGCAATTTATTTCATCCATGTTAAGAGACACATGAATGATTAACACAGGCATAGTTAGTACTATGCCAGATTAGGACCCAAATAGTAATATCCTATAAATAATAAAAATACATTTTTACTTTGATAATTGACTGTAGGTGTGAAGACTCTATATAATTCAACCAAATGACTGTATGCTGTACAGTCCTGTGCAAATATCTTTTAAAAAATTAATAATCCTTTTTTTTTTGCTATAAGGCTTTAACCCTATAATTTTCACAGCAACATAACTTTCATCCAGCCTGTACCATATTTTTTCCAATCCTTCAGTCCAAAAATTCAACATGGTCAGTCTGTATGATGTCAAAATAAAGCATCTATAAGATCAAATCCCCTCAGTCTTCTAAAGGCACACAGACTTCCCCAGATTCATCCCACCGAGTCTGGTCATTCTGTTCTTCTATATCATCAGGTAGCTCTTCATCAGCTTCCCCTACTTCATTTTCTTCAAACTCTTCGTCTCTAGGAAAATCGGTGTCTTGTACCTGGTCTACTCCCTCTTGCGCTCCTGGCTGAGATTTGTCTGCACAGTCAACGCAAACACCGTAACGCCGAGATCCATGTCTTATTCCAACACTAGCTGCTAGCATGAAAATCTTCTTGCACACCATACATTTGTACTTCTTATCCTTCTTGTGAACCTACATAAAGGATAGAATTATTATATCAACAGGTTTAATATAGATTTATTAAAATTGATTTGTTTTGTAATTAATCCAAAACTAAGATTTGAATATACTTGAAAGCCACAAATGGGATCTACTGCACCCATATCAAAATTTTGCACTTCACAAGAAATGAAAAATATTCTTGCTATATTTTTAAGCTCCTATTTCTGCTCCAGTTCCTTAGTAAGTTGAATTATAAATTATTGGAGAATGCAATTTAAAACCCAGTATCAAAATTAAATATTACTGATATGTCTCAATAATATTACTTCTTAAAGCAGATATTCAGCCAGCCTTTAACAAGGAACACTAATCTTAAGTTTCCTTCAGCTTTTGGGATTAAAAGGAAATAAATTCTGACACCAACTTTCTTGGCTTTTTAATTACCAAGTACACATTATAAGGTGCAAAAATCCCACACTGCATTCTCATTACTGAATCCGAGCATGAGGGAATATCTGAGATGCAGGTTTGTATTTATGCCTACTGAAACAAAAGCAGAGCAAGACTGTACATATTCATCTAAATCTGATTACTGGTGCAACCAGAGCAAAATCAGACCTCCATTCAAACATTTAGTTTATCTACAATAGTAGTCTTCCTGAATAATGAACCAGGGAATTATTTCTATTTTTGCATTATGTTTCTGAAATATAGCATAAAAACCAGCAAAACCATTTTGTTTAGTTATTGAATTCATCCAATAATTGCCAATTCCTGACTATTAATATTACCTTAACTATTTTATAGTAATAATGTATATATTAGTATTTAGAAAAAAAACGGGCAGATTTTTATTAATTATCCAATTTATTAATTTTGAATGTTTAAACATATTTTACTGGATCCAATCTGGGTCGGTCATCAGGACTAGAGGTTTAGTCTTCCTAGCTTTCACACTCGTGCTGCAGCCCATCCTCAAGGAACTTCTCACCATTATCCAATTATAGACGTTAGTTTGTTTGTCCTGTAGGACAATATAATTCCAAACATTGCCACAGAGAATGCTGTAGTTTGAAGCAGGCTACTTATTTAAACACTTTAATTGTAAACTACACAAATGTGATGTCAGTTAGCAGCTTAATTCTATATGAAACATGATATACCAAACTAATTCAATACATAACAAATATTATTTAGTTTTATTGTAGCAAACTGTAGAAGTTACATACCAAGGAATGTCTTTTTACATGTTCTCTACGAGTAAACAATTTTCCACAAATATCACAGCTGAAAGATCTCACTCCTGTATGAATGAGCAAATGTCTCTTTAGTGTTCTTCTATATTTGGCTACATAGTTACAGTGTGGACACTTCAATTTATTCATGATTAGAGAAGAATCACCTAAAGATCCAAACAAAAGTGATTTAATAAGTTAACAAAAATATTTTACAAAATATGATATAAAATAATATAGTATAATAAGTGTGTATGTGTATGCATATGTGTGTATATTGCCATTCAGCACAAAGCTAATCTCTGTATAGCCATAACACCCAGATTTATTTCACCCACATACCTCAAGTATGTTTACATATAACTACAGTGAGGGGAAAAATATTTGATCACCTGCTGTTTTTGTACGTTTGTTCACTGACAAAGAAATGATCAGTTTATAATTTTAATGGTAGGTTTATTTTAACAATGAGAGACAGAATAACAACCAAAAAATCCAGAAAACTGCATTTCAAAAAAGTTATAAATTGATTTGCATTTTAATGAGTGAAATAAGCATTTGACCCTTTGCAAAACATGACTTAGTACTTGGTGGCAAAACCCTTGTTGGCAATCACAGAGGTCAAACGTTTCTTGTAGTTGGCCACCAGGTTTGCACACATCTCAGGAGGAATTTTGTCCCACTAGTCTTTGCAGATCCTCTCCAAGTCATTAAGGTTTCGAGGCTAACATTTGGCAGCTCGAACCTTCAGCTCCCTCCACAGATTTTTTATGGGATTAAGGTTTGGAGACTGGCTAGGCCACTCCAGGACCTTAATGTACTTCTTCTTGAGTCACTCCTTTGTTACCTTGGCCGTGTGTTTTGGGTCATTGCCATGCTGGAATACCCATCCACAACCCATTTTCA